AAAAATAAAAGAAGTGGAATATACACCCTAAAAAAAAAAAAAGGAGGAAAGAAAATACTGGAATTAGTTAAAAGATGCAACAAAGTGGCATGTTCAGTCACTTGTGTGTGTGAGAGCTGGACAATGAACATGGATGCCTAAAGAAGAATTTATGCCTTTGAGTTATGGTGTTGGGGAAGAATATTGAGGGTACTGTGGATTGTCAGAAGGGGAGTTCTGGTGATGTACTCTGTAGAGAGTTTTGCTGCTGACTCAAAGGCCACACCTCTCCAGTGGTTCAGGGAAAAATATAGAAGATCTCACATATTACTTAGAGCCAAGAAAACTCAATGGAGGGTCAGCGATGAGTCAGTTCTGACTCTATAGCAATGAGTTTGAGTTTTAGTCTGTTGCATTATAGATTGTCGGATGAATTAAGAAATCTTTCTTAGAAGAATTATATCTGGAATGCTTCTTGAAAGACTAGTCCTTGGAAAAGGACATCATAGTTGGAAGAGAATAAATAGAAAATGATTCTGAATAAAGTTAATTTATACAATGGCTTCAATAGTGATCTCAAACACAGCAGTTGTGGAGATGTGTTGTTGTTGTTGTTAGGTACTGTCCAGTCATGTACAGTTCATATCAACCCTGTGAAAAACAGATCTTGAATCTTGTTTGTCCTGCGCCATCCTTATCATCTCCAGCACACTTGAGCCCATTGCTGCAGTCACTGTATCACACTATCTCACTGACGGTCTTCCTCTCCTTTGCTGACTCTACCTTTACAAGCATAATGCCCATCTCCAGGGAATAGTCTCTCCTAATAGCATGCGCAGAGTATAAGAGGTACAGCTTCACCATTCTTGCCTCCAGGGTACACACTCCTTGCATCTTCAACAGGGCATATCTGTTCTTTCAGCAGTCCCTGGCATTCAGTACTCTTCCCCCTCACCATAACACAAAGGCTTCAATGCTTCTTCTGTCATAGCTATTCATTGCCCAGATCTCAGATGTATAGTGACTGGAAGGACATAGCCTAAAGCAGGTGCACCTTACTGACAACACTGCTCTTCGGGACTTTGGAGAGGTCCCTTACAGCAGACTTCCCAGTGCTATATGTCTCCTGACCTGACAGCTGGTATGACTTAGGATCCAAGGAGGATAAACTTGCTGACAATTTCAGTCTTTTCTCCATCTCTCATGATGTTTAATGTTGGCCTATTGGTGAAGATTTTTGTCTTCTTGATGTTAAGATGTAATACATTACATCTTGAAACCTGTAATCCTTTATCTTCTCAGCATGTGTCTCCTTGCTTTCAGCAAGCAAGGGTGTGTCATCTGCATAACATAGGTGTTGATGAGTCTTCCTCCAATCTTGGTGCCATATTCGTCATAAAGTTAAGCTTCTTGAAGGATATGCACAGCATACAGATTGAATGTTGTTTTTGTTGTATGTGCCATCAAGTCATCTGCAACTCATAGCAACCCTGTGTATAATAGCCCTGAACCCTGCTCTATCCTGAGCCAATTATCACTGACTCTGATACACCAACCCCCATTACCCCAGTCTCTGTGTCAGTCCTTCTCATCCAGGGTCTTTCTCTCTTGTGCTGTCCCTCCACCCTTGCAAGCCTGATGTCCTTATCCAAGGATTAGTCCCTCCTGGCCATATGCCCAAAGTATATGAGATGGAGCTTCAAAATCCTTGCCTCCAAGGAGAAACTTGGTTTCACTCTCTGTAAGATAGACCTGTTTATTCTCTTAGCAGTCCATGAGATGTTCAGTACTCTTCTCCAGCACCACAACTCAAAAGCGTCCATTCTTCTGTCATCCTTAGTCATTCATTGTCCAGCTCTGATGCATAGCAAGTAATTGCTAAGACCATGGCCTAGTTTGGGCACATCTTAGTCTCTATCCTGACATTATTGCTTGTTAGCACTTTGGAGAGGTCCCTGATTTCTGCAGTGCAATTTGTCTTTTGATTTCTTGACTGCTTGTGTCAAGAATGTTGATTGTGGAGCCGAGCAAGGTGAAATTGTTTACAACCTCACTCTCTTCTCCATCTGTCATGGTGTTGCCAATAGGTACAGAAATAAGGATACAATCCTAACACACACTTTTCTTGATCTTAAACCATGCAGTGTTCCCTTGCTCTGTTGGCACCACAGCTTCTTGTCCTAGGTGGAGATTTCTTATAAGCACAATTGAGTGTTCTGGGATTCTCATTCTTCTCAATGTTAGCCATAGTTTGTTATGATCCACACAGCCAAATGCCTTTGCATAATCAGTAAAGCACAGGTAGACATTCTTTTAATATTCTCTGCTTCCAACTAGAATCCATCTGACATCAGCAATGATATCCTTGGTGCTATGGCCTCTTCTAAACCAGGTTGAACTTCTGGGATTATTATAATTCGGGACAAGCTCACCACTACAGTGAGTAGTAAGACAGCTTCTGCTGGGATGAGGAAAATCATGTTGTAGGAGATGGCTTTAATTTAGCAGTAGCAGTAGAAATGGGAAGGAAAAATGAGAAGTGTTAAGAATGAGGAGTTTTACTAACCAACACATAAAACAAAAGAGAAAGTAACTGAGACAAGTCAAGTGTAAAGGGCCTGTGAGATGTCTGAGTTGAGAAGAGAATTTAAAATAGGCAGTTGGATCTATACTGTAACTCAAAAGTGAGAGATAGTTATTATTGTAAAGGTAGAAATTTGTGCACTGAAAGTAGATAATGTTGCCTAGAGAACATAATCGAGTAAGAAAATGATCCAGGATAAAGCAGCAAGAACACTAGTGTTGAAGAATGAGCAGAAGAAACAAATGAGAGATAGATATACATGATTTTAGAAGCCAGTGAAGAGTTTCAAGGAAAGTAGAGTTGCATTTATTATAATATTGTTCTTAGTTGCAAAAATTATGGAAGCTTTCCTTACTATAGGAAATAGTTAAATTGTGGAACATTTATACTACAAATGCAGGTATCTGCAGGTCAGTACGTACTGTTTAAAATGCAGAAAGTGGGGCAGTTGTGCTAAGCTGCTAACAGGATAACCTGACATTGTTATTGTCAGGTGTCCCTGAGTTAGTTCTGACTCTTAGTGACTCCTTACACAGGAGAAGGATACACTGGTCCTGGGTCATCTTCACAGTTGTTGCTATGTGTAAGCCCACTTTGCAACTACTGTGTAAATTCATCTTGTTGAGAGTCTTCTACCTCATTGACAAAATTTGATGTGTTTTAGGATTGATTCCTCCTGATAACCTGTAAGCAAAACAGAGCCTCACCATTCTCCATTCTAAGGAGTATTCTGGAAGTACTTCTTTCAAGGCAAGTTTTCTTGTGGCAGTGCATGATATGTTCTGTATTCTTTTCCAACACAATAATTCAAATACATCAATTCTTCCTTGATCTTATTTTAAACTTTTTTTCCTCTTTTGGATCAGGCACACCTCATCCAAGCTATTGTCTTGTTTCATATGCATGGAAAAGCTGAACAAATAAAAAGGAAGGCTAACAGAAATAAATACCTTGGTTTAGTCTGGTTTCAGCTAGGAATGTACTTAGACTTATTGGTGACAGAGTTTAGAAAGAATAATGAACGAAAATCTGTTTCTTGTGAAGAGTAAGACATTCTAGTGTAGCATCAGGAAATCTGACAAAGTTTATGCTTCCTCTAATATCTTAAAAAATGAAGATTGTCTCATTTTATTTATAAATGTCTTCCTCCACTCTACTTCTAAAGAATACTAATTTAAAAGCTGCTTTGCCAACAATCAGTGTATTTTTGGGACTCCCATTTCTTCACTTCAGCAGGGTTACAGTGACTCATGGTCTGATCTCATTCTTCTATAGAAATCTGTGAAGTGGCAGATAATGAAGACTTTCTCCATTTCTGTGCACTCCCCAGGGAATGTTCTAGGCTCTAGACGTCTGAGAGTGATTCTCTCCCATATAGAATTAAAATGCCATCTGGTATATGTTAGGTAGACACTAGAGGTTATTAGATTCTATCCTTGGAGAAATTTTTTTATTGTAAACTGGAGATCATATTTTTGCAATGGACATTTATCAACTAAAATTTACTTGTTTTCAATTGTTAGCCTATGCTTTCTGGTGACCAATTGAGCAGAAACAGTAGAATATGGATCTATCAGTCCAAGAAACTCTCTAAAACTTTGCCAGAGAACATACTTGAATTCTTAGTCTGCTTCCTAATATTAGGTATCTTGGCACCAATATAGATATGCATCCCTGTTTCTTGGACCTTTTTAATGTTCCTTTTTGTTTCTTTCCCCTCCGCCATGGCTTGTCGAAAAGGAGGGGCAATATGGCAGAAACCAGTGGTTGAGTCCAGGGCATACCAGTGAGGATGATTCTTGTGGGTTCTGCCAGATTCCAAAGTCTGTTTCCTAATAGGGTGGGTCAAAAGGTGTGAATTCCTGTCTTCTCACTCTACTCTAGTCCCAGTGATGACTCAGCCTACTGGAAAGCCAGGACACAATGGTATATGCAGACCAGATCCAAGAAATAAGACTGTGACAGTAAGACTTGAAATAGAAATGAAAGGAACTTTTAATTACCATAGCTAGATATGTTTCTTTAGTCTGTGAGAATGAGCTACCATTTCTGTAAAGAACTGATTTAAAGTCACTTGGGAAGATAAAGACACCGTGTATTCTACGTAGAACAATGCTGCTTTTCCTCTGTAGTGTCCATGTAAGGGGAGTGGAGACAGCCGGCTTAAGGATTCTGTATCATAAGGTTAACTATTTCTCTTTAGCCATAGAGTACATTGACTATTCACTTTTCCCAGTATCCTTTATTTGTTCTTTCGTTCATTGCAAATTTGTTTATATACCTATTCTGACAATACTAGTGAACCCTCTACGTGAAGGAAGAATAACAGCTCAGTTATGTAAGGCTCCTTCATTATTTCTGTGACACCAGGGGTCAGTGAGAAAGGAGGGTAGTGTTCTCTGCTTCACTAAAAATTCTTTGCTTTCTATCCTTCAAGCAACCTCATAACATTCTGCAGAGACGTCTGATGGAGACGAACCTGTCCAAGCTCCGAAGCAGCCGTGTCCCCTGGGGTTCTAAGACCAACAGACTCAATCAGACTAAGTCTGAGAATCTGAAGAAGCTGGAAGATGATGACATGATTTTAGTTTCTTGCCAGGTAGTTTTTCTGTGGTTATCTTTGAGATTTTCTAGGAAGTAGGATATGGGAGCTCTCTGTGACCACTTCCAAATATGTAGCATTGTGGGGCTTATAATGAAATTAATAAATATATTTTAAATATATTCATAAATATATTTAAATATATTCATAAATATATAGAGAAATATATGTAAAGATACTCCATGCAACACTTGAATGCATGTTTTATGCATGTGCATCTTTATGAGAAAAATAAACTCATCAGATTTTTTAAGAGATATGTGGTACAACAACAACAAAAAAAAAGAGATATGTGGTGACTGAAAATATTTAAAGCTTTTTGGCTTGTGGGATAAAACACTCAAAAGTCTTTGGGTTCTTGTGTCAGCAGGAAAGAGCCACTGAAGGAAAGACTCAGCAGTGGATGAAGATAAGACTGGGCACTAACCCATAACCCTGTCTTTTGCATGACAGCTGCTGCTTGCTATCTGGCTCTCCCTTTCCCTTTGCTGCTCTGGCTCCTTTTGAAAAGTGTATCTCTTCTCCACAGTGTGCTGGAAAGGATGTGAAAGCCTTGGTAGACACAGGCTGTCAGTATAATCTCATCTCTTCAGCCTGTGTGGACAGATTGGGGTAAGTAGCCATTTGTGCTTGGTGAAAGTCAGATCTGAATGCACACTTTGTTAATCCATTTTATGATTACAGATGATGAAGATCTCCACAGAGGCTCTAAGGAAAATATGAACTCAAAATTTTAGCTGGAGTCAGAATATCCTTAGTAGAGGAGAGGAATTATGGGTTGTCAGGCAGCTGTAGAAATCAGTATGTCAGACAAGACCCAGGCTTTACATTAACTTCCACCTATTGAGTTTTGAGCAGCAGTTTCTCACCCTGGAATGACAGAGTATGATATGCCTGGCTTAATATGAGCACTGCTGTATATTTCAGACAGCAAATTAGAAGGAGCTGTACTGTTGATGTACCTGAGATGATTAAAGCAGTGATATACAGAGTCTCTGGAGCCTACTGCACTCTTCCTATCCCCAGAAACACACATCATAACTGGCATTGGGGCTGCAATTGCTGCTAGATCTAATTAACCAATAGTTTCTCCTATATGAAAAATATATCAAATTAGATCTTACTGCTACTCCTCAGAGGGATTGAATAATTTCAGTTCACTAGCAAGTAGATTTGGGTTCTCCCTCTTTTATTAAGGGAAAGACATTTCCTATCTTACCTCCTTGTTTCTCTATTTGTACTTTCCCCACTTTCCTTCTTACTCTTTCTTTCAAAATACTAGAAGAGCTTTAGGATCTACTCCAGAATCATAAAGATCAACCCAACATCTTTTCCTACATCTCTAGCCCTAATTATAATAAACCGTTTTCCAGGTGAAATCTCTAAAGTACAATAAGTACTATTGTAGATACAGCAGCCATCTGAGCTATGTCTAAGTTATCCATATTCTTACATACGTTTGCATAAATTTTGACTTGTATAATCAGTGAACTCTATTCCTTTTTATCTCAACCCTCAACCGCATCATGACTCTTTGCATTTATCTGTAGATTTTTAATATTGATATTTAGGTTCACACGGGAGTTCAGGGCACAGGTGCTCTTGTGGGAAGATTCTGGAATCTTTTTATGTGAATAGATAAGCTATAGTGCAATGTGATGGTTCAAAAAAGACCAATAATTATAGTGGTGCATAATTAGGAAGCAGACTGCCATGATTCCAGAGGAATTAATAACCATCTATAAAATGGCAATTATTTTCTTTTACATGGATAAAAAGGATAGGAAATAGAAGAAAGCAGAAGTATTGGCACAAAAGTCCATAATTAAGTATTTATCTACCAACCCATGATAGCTCACATGCTAGTCATTCCAATCAACTTACATAACTTTGTGAAAAACCTGGTACTATTTCTTTCTTTTTTGCACTACACAGGCAAGTTACATTAATTAGAACTTTCTCCAGGATATTTCTTGCTGACACCAGTATCAGTGAAGTTACCAAATATATACCTGTCCAACTGACTTTATAACCCAAGAAAAACTGGTGAGGATAGACTGACATAAAAAGAATAAAGAGAAATTAGATATTGAACAAAGTATCTTCCAAATCTGTGACTTAATCTGCCTTCTCTCAGATCTGTTATGGGTAGAAAAGACATGTTAACTAAACAGCTTCATGGGGATGTTAGGGTGCAGAATAGAATACTCTGAGAACTCTCTCCTTTCACCAATACAGGTAGTGTTTATGTTGTTGTTGTTGTTGTTGTTGTAAAGTGTCATTGAGTCGTAGACAACTCATAGTGACCCTGTGAACGAAAGACCTGAACACTTGTATAACCTTCATTGTTTCTCCAAGCTCATAGAGTTTCCAGAGGCAAGCCATTTCGGAAGTGGATGCCACTCCTGCTTCCAACCTTCTTTTAATCAGAGAGCTCCACCAAACACTGTCCATGGATAGCCATTATCACATTTCACACATCAGTGTGACAGTGTTTAGCATCACCACAGCCAAGAGTTACCTCTGTATAGCAAATGGACAGACAAGTGCTATACCACTTAGACGAATGTTTGACCAAAACCAATTAAAACCAGGCCTGAGGGCCACAGATTAAAATCACCCACCTTTGGCTTGGTAGTATTACTTTTTATCCACTAGGCCAACAGGCTCTCTCATTGTATAAAAGCTTTATTAAGTAATAGGATCTATGTCTTGATTGTTGTTTTGTGTGTTTTTTTTTAATATCCCCCTAGTATATTTGGGACAAAGTTATGAAAGAATGGATATTTTTATGTAAATTTATCCAAATACACTTCTGGAGAATTCCATTTGTAGGTTATTCAGAAGGTAGGTATTGCCAAAGTCTACCAGAAACCTCTGCCAAGGAGACTCTAGTATCTTCCTCTCTGATGCAGGCTCAAGGAGCATGTGAGATCTCATAAGCATGAAGGGGAGAAGCTTTCTCTACCCCGACATCTCAAAGTAGTGGGCCAGATCGAGCACCTAGTGCTCACCCTGGGCTCCCTCCACCTGGACTGTCCAGCAGCTGTGGTTGGTGAGTAAAACTGGGGACCTGTAGACACCTAAGGTAAACTTTTCTCCTGCATTCATCTCTCAAGGGATCTCATGCCAGAAATACTGGCTTTTCAAAGATTCAGGTTACTACTTTCTAGTATTACAGTCCTTTTCTCAGTTACTTTTCCTTTAAAGTATCAGGCAGACTCTTGGTTACATTCAGTACATGTTGAGGATCACTTAGGAAAAGGAGTATATAACTCAGGAGAAATTGAAGGGACAAGAAATACATATTTTTGTGTCCAGGTAAAAATAATCCCTGAGAGAATTCCATGAGCTAGTTGAATATAGAGGCAAGATCTTCACCAATCCTGTGGTAGTTTCCCAATATCTCTGTATTGTGCATTCTGCATAAGATTACTCTAAATTACTGGGTTTTATCTAAAACTCCTTTTCCTTTAGAGTTAAAAAGGTAGAGCTGTGCACATCCATGTTTATCGCGGCTTTGTTCACAATAGCAAGGAGTTGGAAACAACCTAGATAGATGCCCATCAACAAACGAATGGATAGAGAAGCTGTGGTATATATGCTGCATTGAAAAACAAGGAACTCATGCAATATTATTCAAAATGGGTGACCCTGGAAGACATTATGCTGAGTGAAGTGTCTCAGTCACAAAAGGACAAATACTGCATGGTGCCACTGTTGTAAAGCAGGACTGACCTCGGGGTTGGGAGGAGACTGAGAATGATAGGTTCAATAATGTATACTGCATTGAAACAGACGAGGGAGAAAACTGTTTAAGAGGGAAAATTATTAGGTATTTTTGTCATGACAGGAGTCCAGAGCGAAGGCTGTATAGTGGAGTAGACCTGGGGGGAGGGATTGTAAAACAATGAAAGAATTTTTCTTTTACTTTTCCAAGCGGGTAGTGTATTAGGAAGACGGGTTGGGAGGGGAGAAAAGTGTAACAGTGAATGAATGGAAATCCAAAGTCTCTGTAAATTTTCATTGAAATTAATAATAAATTAAAAAAAACAACAACAACAAAAAAAAAACCCGCCAAACAAATAAAAAAAGGTAGAGCTAGGTTTGAATCCTGGATCTTCTGTCTTTTTACTATATGATATGAGAAAATTATTTAATACAAGAGATATGCCACAGATATTTATTGGGTGTGTAGATGGATGGATGAAGATTGTAACCTAATGGCAGTCAGGCTGACTTTAAATCGGCATGGAAATTTGTGCAGCTTATTTTTATTATTTTCTCTTAGAAGACAGTGAGAAAAATTTGTCCCTTGGTCTCCAGACACTCCGATCCTTGAAGGTAGGATTGATTATTTTTTCCCTTTGGATTTTCTTCTCTGAAACAGAGGTCTCCTTACATGAGACATCATAATGGAATCACTAACAGGGACCAGTGAGTATCCTTTGTCTTTCAGTGTATCATTAATCTGGATAAGCACCGACTTGTCATGGGCAAAACAGACAAAGAAGAAATCCCTTTTGTGGAGACAGTTGCTTTGAATGAAGACAAGTGAGTAGCTAGATGGGTCAGGTCAAGTCAGATCCATCTGTCATTAGCTGGGTGAAACTGGTGAATATCTAAAAGGATATGGGATTGTGTCCTGCCTTTGACCTCCAGTAATTTTACAAGCCACACCTCCCCCCCCAATCCCTTCTCCCAGTTTACCGTTTCACAAAACTCTGGCCCACAGTTAAGAATGAGCAGTGTTGCTATCACACAGTACAGTGGGGAAGATGAATAGGTTTTAAACAAAAATTGTGTTCAGTCTAACCTTTTTAACAGTGGTATCATTTCTTCTGATATTTCTTTCTCATTTCAGCACTTCAGAAGCATAACTACAACCTGCAGTGTGTCTGCACAATTTGCATTCACTAAGTTCACAGATTGTAGTACCAAATGCAGTAGCAACTTGCTGTGGACCAAGTCCTACCCTCTAATAGAAGCTCCAGGGGCATCTCCTTACCCAGATCTCTCTAGACTATAGTCTGTACTTAGAGATCTTGTCTGGTTATAGCCATTGTTTTTTTACTCCTTGGATTACTTAATTTATAGACCTTTTGACACTGCCAAGTCTCACTTATGGCCTATTTGTCTGCTTCCTCCAAGAATTTGCTTTTATTAGTCAAGTTTAGGGGCTGCCAGGTTTTATTTCTACATAGACACACTTGCTTCTTTTCCAGTAGCTAACTGTATGATAAACAGAAAACTGATCTTTACCTCCTTTCAGCTGTTTCAAAGAGGTACTGGAGACCAACATCTCAGAATTTATTCTCATTCAATCTTTGTTTACACAAGTATGAATCTGAAAGACACAGAAAGATCATCCAGTTCAGTTGTTTCATTTAAAGGTCCAAAGAGGCAAGAAGATTGCCTAACCTCGTATGCTGAGCCAGTGGCTGAAAGGAACCTAAAACTTAGGCCCAACTTCCAATTCATGCTATATTGATTTTGCTCCACTGCCTCATTTGTTTTCAAACCTTTAGAAAAGAATATGTAAGGGGGAAATGTGCTTTGGGTATGGATTTTAGAGGATCTCCTTCCTACACCTTTTAAAATCTTGTGCACAGAAATGTCACATTTAAGCTCTTACTGCTTGAAACCTGAGAGTATGTAGCTAACTGAAAGGTTTATTACTTTGAACTTCTTGGAGAAGAGTAGAGGAACAGAGGAGGAAGAGAAATTAATTTCTAAGATAGGATCAAAGCCTTCAGTACATTCTGGACATTGTTTTCTCATGTTTGTATCCCCAAAATCCAAGATCTCATGTGTTTGGGAACAAGAGTAAGGAAAAGAAATTTTAAAAAATCTAGAGTAGCTAGACTCAGCTGGGGAGGCTTACTGGAGAAACCTTTCTTTCTTTTTTTTTTATTTTTCTTATGTGTGGTGTACCATCAAATCAGACCTGACTGTGCAGGAGGAGATTGTTCCTCCTTCTTCAGCAGAGAATCTGGTGGATTTGAACCATGTATCTTTGCAGTTGCAGTGCAGCTTCTTGCCACTAGGCTACCAGAGCTCACCTAGGAGAATCCTTTCTGAGAGGTTGGTAATCACTTTCCAAATGGGGAATTGAGAGATTGAACACTGTCTGGGCTCTGTGTTGGTAACAAAGTTCAAGCCAAAAGCAGTGTTAAAAGAAAACTTTTTTTTAAAGAAACTTTTTCTAACTTCACAATATTTTTTTTATACTTTGCAAAGTGTTGAGTATATCACAGGAGCCTCTTTTTTGTTATCAGTTTAGGCCACAGGTAATGACACTCCCCTTTCAGTCTTGGAAGTGCTTGGTAAAGTCAGAAAAATAACCAGCTGTGGGTATTTCCTTAAGAGTCCATCTTTATCCCACAGAGCAGCTAGTGTATTTGAACCTCTGTCATTTTTGTCACAGAATAGAATGCACTATACCACAAGAGCTCCTTATAGAGGTACCTAAAATGTCTGCAGGCAATTAAGGAAGTTTTTATTAGACTGACTTCTATAAATGCTGCCAAGTTGATTACTGTGATAGCCCATATCTCCTTGATATTAATGAGAAATCACTGGGTTTGTTTTTGAGGGGCTGGTAAGGTAAGCCTAAGAGGTCCATTCTGTATCAGTTTTCCAGTCTCCTAAAAATTCTCTTTGATGTCTCGAACTGGGGCTTTGTGGTGGGTCAGATATGAAGGAAGTAGCCACCCAGATCCTAATTCTGAAGACATACCATGGCAAGAGTTACCTTAGAGAGCCAGTATCTGTATCGGTTCATATTAGATGTCCATTTCTAGTATAGGGAGTTGAAATATATTGCTTTTCTCGTTTGGTATTTCTGTGCCTGACTTACTTGACGAGTGAGTTTCTGATTTTTCTATTTCCTTACCCTAGTATGGTTTTCTATTCCTTAGCTCCAAGTATCTATACAATGGATTGCCTGGTATCTCAGCTGCCCTCTGTGTGTAGAGATACTTTTCCAGGCTGGGAACATTGAGGAGATGAACTAGACTCCTCCTTACTTCTGTTACTAGGCTTTTACACTGGCAATTTACTCTGTCTTAGATGTGTTGGGTTTATTTGTGAGATTGATGTGACAATAAAATAAAATCTTGCCCCTCGGTGTATTTGTCTGTCAATGTCTTTATGTTAGCACCTCAGCCTGGAAGGTTAGGGAGTCCAGGCACAGCCTAATTGCAGCAGTATTCCTCTAATAGATCTTCTGAACCCAAGATTTTAATTCTTCAGGTACTTTGTGGTTATTAGCCTTTCATCTCCCTCTTACTGGTTGTAAGTCCTTTGACAAGTTAATGAACCCTTCTGACCTTAGTTTTACAATCAAACAAATAATAACAGTATTTATAACAGTATTGAGAGTGTCAAATGAGATTCACGTTAAATGGTTAGTATGTTATAGGCACTCAAATGAGAGCATTCTTTTATGGTAGTCTAATTAGTGAGTGTAATTATTTCTAGAAAAAGAAACATCTAGTTAGTTCAAACAAATAGCAGTGTGGGAGGGGGGTAGGGCTGAATGAACCTTAATATATAGTTAGACTCACAGTATAGTATTCCAAATAAATGTATTTTACAGATTAATTACCTTTTAAATAGTATCTTTAACACCTGTAAAAAGAGCAGGTGCTACATGGAGACAGTGGTATCTGACCTTTACCACCATCACAAAGGGAGCTATCCTTGTCAACAACATCAGCAATGCAAAACCAATTCCCAGGAGGTCATACATGTACCTCACACTCCTTCACCTCTTTTTACTTATCCCAGCATCAATCTTACTGCTTTCCTGGGTCCAGAATCTGATGCATTAGCTCACAGACCACATAAAACCACACTGGAAGGTCAGAAGTCTATAACTGACGTTAGTAGCAGAATAGGGAGCTCTGGTGGCCTAATCACAAGATGTTTCACTGCAATTCCAAAGGTACATGGTTCGAATCCACCAGCTACTCTGTGGGGAAAGGGTGTTCATTCTCCTTCTGTGTGATTAACTGCCTCTGAAAACCTGCTGGAGGGTCAGCTATGGTTGGTTCAAACTTGATGGTACACAACAACAGCAGAATAGTCAGGACAGCTTCTGAAAGGTGCTTGTGAGTGCCTCAGCCCTGACCTTCTTGACTTAAGACCAGTGTTTAAAAGTTCACAGTCCTGGCAGTATTGGCTCTTCCCCACAGCTGTCCAACAAACTTGGGCAAAGCTCTTAGTTTAGCTCTGGTTCTGGCCATGGGAGGTAGCAGTCCCAAGGTCGGCTCCATTTCATGTTGGGTCTCTGGTTCTCTGCTTCGGCCATGGCTGCTGTTGCTGTAGGTCTAGCTAGCATAAGAATTTCTGGGCCCAAAGAAGGATGTGCTACATTCTCTTCTGCTTTGCTGGTGGAGAAGATCTTCTGCTACTGGATCTGTTCAATGTAATGGCAAGGCTAGCAAATCCCCTTGTGAATTGACTAACACACCTTATTCACATATTCCCACCCATTCACATGGTAAACTAAAATTCAGTGGCTAGGAAAGCTATTTTTAACACTAAACTTTACACACCAAAACACCCATGATGATACATAAGTTTGGCAGATTTTCTACATTCCTATTAATATATGCTATAAATATATCTGTATATAGCAGAGCAAATAAAAACTTCTTAATCATAATGGATAACCCTGAGGGAATGTGTTGTTAGTCCGAGGTCTTCAGGGCCATCTCATGGGATACCTAGGTCAGTTGGCATAGAGAACACTGTCCAGAGAGACCGTGTTCTATAGCGTACTTCAGGGAGGGCCTTAAAAACTTGAAAGTGGCCATCTAAAGTGCAACTATAAGTCTCTCCCTGTCCAGGATAAAGAAGAGGGAAGAAAAGCAAAGATGCATACAAAAAGTCCAAAGGACTAATGAACCACTTGAATATCAGCCTCCACAGAACTAGTACCCAGTTACCACTGCTGACCACTCTAAAAAGGCTCACAATCGAAGATCCTGGATAGGGTGGGTGGGAAATGTGAAGCAAACCCAAAAACATATAAGCATGACCAGGCTTACTGGTCCAATAGAGACTGACTGAACCCCCAAGACTATTAGTCACCTTTGAACCTGGAACAGAACCTACTCCTGTGGCTCAGCTTGAAGCCAAGCATTGGACAGGCCTACCAGCTGAACAGTAATACCAGGGAGGCACTCCCTTCTTAGGATCAACCGAGGAGTATCAAAAGGGCAGCATTTGACCAATGATAAATTCAAAATGCAGGAAGGATAGACACAAGGATTAATGGGGAAGTGGGAAGAGCATGCAGTCACATTGTATGGATTGTAATGAATGTGAAACTATGTGTATGAATGGTTGAATGGGAACCCAATTCACTTTTGTAAACTTTCACTCCAGTCAATAAAAAAAAGAAAAAGGAATGCTACATTTAATACTGAAATAGTATAGTTAAATAGCATCCCTTTACTATGGCAGTGGTTACAATAATCTAAAATTATAGTTCTACTGTAGTTCTACCATTCTACCTCAAAAGGTTTTTGTATTTTTACCCAATT